TTTCCAAAACATTTTTTACAAGGACAACTTATAAAGGACGAGAGCAGCGCGTGCAACAGCCGCCTCCACTTTGAGAGTAAGAGCACAACTCCACGGCTCGTCACTCTGTTATCAAGCAAAGTATATTTCCTTATGTGAAGTGTGTCTATAACCTTCTCTCTCTGACACACATGCAGGCGATGGGCTATAAACAGTTTGGTGTTTTTCCCGCCTAAATTCCTGCTTCGGTTGGTTTGCGTGTTCACACTGGTCATGCCCCGGCACAAAGTGTAGGGAAGAAAGAGTGTTGAATACTGAGTTTTGACACGCCAGCTCTTGTTCTATTCAACTCAATTCAATGTATTTTTGTAGAGCCTTAAATCACAACAGTAGTTATCTCGGACGACTGTTAGCCATGTTTATTTCGAGCAAATAAGTGTACAATAAACACAAGTAGGATATCAAAAAAATTAAAATAAAAAATAACCTTGAGGTACATTAACATTATTATAAATATTATATACACAAAAAAAACACTTTTTTCCCACCCCTAGTGCCCTCAAACAAATTACTCATTGAGCTTCCTATTTGCTCCAGTACAAAAAACAAAGCGAATGGCACATTTAAATAAACTGTTCAAGTTTTTAACTAAACATGAATGGGTTTAAGGACGTATACAGACAAGATACATTTTACAAGGATGCACAACAACTGCATGAGGGAGATACCAGCAATGGTAAGGACATGATACAGCAATGGTAATGAAACAAACTGTTGAATTCCCCAACGCAGATCAGAGAATCAAACGGTTCAAGCTCCAGAAATAGAGCAGAAAACACATTAGATATCATTAGCTCCTTACGGACCAATACCAAGTCCATGATTGGACTGTTTGACTGTGTGACATGTCCTGTGAGATTAGATCATTGAACGTGGACATTTTAGCAAGAAGGGGAAAAGAACAGCTAATAATTACTAAACTATACTAATACTATGCTCAGACAACATATATTAGTATTAGTAGAGTCTATGTGTACAGTCAGACTTTACAGAAGCGTGGGAACTTGTTTTTTTTTTCTATTACATTAGTTTATATCACTATATTATATTTCAAAAAACAACATTCATGGATTATCATTATTATGTCATATAATCACTTTACAGCAAACAGAAGCACAACTCTTATTTCATGAAAACATAGATTTTGCACTTTTAATTACTGTCGATGCGTTACTTTCTCCATTGTGCGTCTACAAAGCATAATGCTGTAAATCTCACAATGGAAATTAGAATTTAACTAATTACACGGCCTTGTAATCAGTCGTAATGCAACTATTTTAACCATTCTAACACAACATAACGTTAAACATGCAACTCAATAATAATGTTGTTATTGGTTCTATAATTTCAAAATGGATTTGGTGTTTGAAACTACAAAATCGACGCATTTTGGTCAGGGGCCGAATAAAATTGTAGAAACTGGTCAGGGTCCAAAAGGATAAAAGGGATTTCCTTTTCTCATAATTGTTTATCACATGAGTTATTCAGACAAGTTTCACTATTCACCAGTATTTTCTGGTTGATTTTTCTGAAAAAAATCAAACAAATTGCTCTATGTTTAACTATTTAACTTAGAATTACATTTTTAGAATAGATTAAATGTGGTTGTTTTGTGGTTGTCTCTCAACCTTAAAACAACCACATTTAATCTATTCTAAAATGTATATTTTTAGTATATTACCATAACCATACAACCATCAATGTTGCAAGTTAATAACTGGAAATCATTTTAGGGGCCATTAAAAATTGTCTTGTGGGCCAGATTTGACATGTCTGGTATAAATGATGCATCTATAAAGCCTCATTTATTCCTTATCTACAGCAGTTTCGTGTAATTACTGATCTAATCTTACAATACATCCCATCACCCTGCCCATCATAATTTGTCATAACGATGAACTTGCAGTCACACAGACACCAACACCACCATAAAGGCAAACCAGACCGAGCCAAACCTCCCGATAGAGCCTACAGTGTAAACAATGATCAAAACGAATTGCCTTCATACTGGAAATGCATTATTCATGTGATGTTTAAGTTTCTCTTTATGATTCAATCTGTGCCTGGTGCAAATGGAAAAAGTTGGACGGGGCCGATCTGTTAAGTTGCAGACGGAGAAGACTCAAAGGTGTGCGGTGTAAAGCTCTTAACCACTTAAATGTCTAAAGGTTGCCGTTTGGATCAATAGTAAAAAGGTCATGTGGTCTGGTCAGGTTAGGATTTAAGTGATTGTCCTTCACGCCTTGCAAAGCACTTTTCTCTTACAGCAGCAAAACAACATCTTAGGAGAGAGAAAGGGCTTCAAGTAAAGTTCTTTGGTTGTTTGAGCAATGCTTTGTGCAGGACGCTTAATCGGCCTGGGTTCGAATCCCGGTCGGAACAGGGCCTTTCTGAGTGGAGTTTGCATGTTCTCCCCGTGTCTGCGTAGGTTTCCTCCGAGTGCTCCGGTTTCCGCTACCACTAAAAACATACACAATAGGTATGAATGGAAATGAGAGAGTGAATGGATGGTGTTGATTGGAGCTGATGGTCCAGTGTGTTCGGCGACTCGGTTCCGTCATCACCGTGTGTGGAATGATTGGAACAATATCTGACTCTGAACATTGTGAAGTGCTTTGGGTGACCTTAGTCTGTAAAATGCGTTATGTAAATAAACAATACTTACTTACTTACTTAATCGGCAACTGTGCGTGACCAAAGGACTACTATCACGGGAAAATCAGGGAATTATTTGTGGATGTTTTGTTCGGTATAATGTGTTTTTGTAGTTTTTTTTTAATCATTCAATCAAATCTTTAGTTGTAGAGCACATTTAAAACTCTCTACAACTAAAGAGTTGATTGAATGATTTAAAAAATCACAGTGCAGCACTTTTTTCTTACCAAAGTGCTGCACAGACTGTGAAAAAAATAATAATAAAAACACATAAAAATACAGCAATATATATACACATGTAATAAAAAAACGAAATTTTGTCTCTTGACTTTTTTATGAATGGTTTTCAATACTGTTTATCCAGTCCAATCCAATCCAATTTAATTTTATAGCACATTTTATAAAACAAGTTTCCAAAGTGCTGCACAGAGGTAAAAATAACAGTAAAGGTAATGTACAGGTTTGTTAGCCCTATATGTATGTTAAATAAAATGTTTAAATCCCCTTTAAAAACAAAACAAAAACAGTGGCAGAGAATCTCAACCAGAGATTTGAATTTGATTAAACGGTTATAATGAAAATGTGCAACAATTACAAATCATGTAGTGGAACTTGACAGGACTTTTCCAAATGACGTGTGATCCATTTAGATTTGCCTCATCAACATTGTTTTTCTTTTGTTTGCAATTTCCCTGACAGGCCATGCTCGAACAAATAGCCGTCAAGGTTTGAATAAATGAATTATGATAAAAATTAATCTCAACTCATCACTTTTGCTTTTGTCACTTTTGTCACTGTAAAAGAAATTGCATTTGCGTCTTGACTCAACATTTAAGATGCCTTGGTCAGCCTTTTTTTTCTAATTCTAGTCACCTCCTCTGCATTGGTAATATAAGCATCATTGAAGCCCTCCCTATGTGCTTTCTTTTAATTATATCTTGTCTAAATTCCAAAATGAAAATATGGATAAAACAACACAGCCTCAGAATGTAACTTTTTCTGTCTAAACTTTTTTTAGTGTGTTACTTTCCTGTCTGATCTTCATGAGTTCACATTTTTCTCATGTCACATACAGCATAGCAAGATAAATTTTTTTGTATTTTTACCATTTTTCCCACTATCCTTCCCTTGTGCCAAAAAATATATATAAATCATCATTAATATCAAATAATTTATGTCTAAACCTCAATTCAATTAAATTTATTCTTGTATAGCCCTAAATCCCAACCGTGGTTTTCTTGGAGGACTTTATAAAACCATTGAATTAGCCAACACAGAGAGGAGAATTGCACAGTTCAAGCACAACAAAATTCAATGATAAAAAACACATTGAGGTATTGTTCCAAAAGGGACAGATGACCAATGTCCATAAATATTTATAGATGTCCATGATGTAGTTGAATGCCACGGTGGCTGAGTGGGTAGCACTCTCGCTTCTCAGCTAGAAGGTCCTGGGTTCGAATCCTGGTCGGAACAGAGCCTTTCTGAGTGGAGTTTGCATGTCTGCGTAGGTTTCCTCCGGGTACTCCGGTTTCCCCTACCACTAAAAACAATACAATAGGTCTGGCATGCGCCTCCTGTACTGGCGACCCCGCTCCCATCTCTGAGTGGAGTGAGAGACAAATGCCCCCAAAAAAATGACAATTGTAAACCGCTTTGTGACTCTGGTCTGTGAAAGGCGGTATATAAATAAAGATTACTTACTTAGTTGCTTACTAGACCAGGAATGTCAAACTCAAGTTCGTGGGCCAAATCCGGCCCGCAAGACAATGTTTAGAGGCCCCTAAAAATATTTGTTATTATTATTAACTTGCATCATTGATGGTTATGGGCCACCAAGTGAAGTTATTCCAAAATATTACCCCAACACATCAATAGAAGTTAACTAGTTGAGTAAACAATGTGTTATATTTGATCCAGTTTTAGTTCAATCCAAACATTAAACACATTTTGACCAGATACCAGAAAAAAATAGTGAGAGTAAAGTCAAAGAAATGAACTCTCAAAATACCTATGTTAAGGAAAGGAAATCCCTTCTGTTCTTTCGGCCCCTGACCAGATACTATTTTTATAATTCGGCCCCTGACCACAATGAATTTGACACCCTTAGACCCTCCTGCATTGGCAAGGACAAAAATTAATAAAAAAGTGCCTACAATACTCCAGTTCCGACCTGGTTCCTTCCCAAAATCATTGAATTCTCCTGTTTCTCAGGCAAAGAATTCATAAACGTACTCTCTGTAAAAAGAAAAAAAAAAAAGAAAAAAAAGGAGTAAATTGTAACATTTTGCAAATGTGTGTTGCAGGATTACGACCTGAGCCAACTGCAGCAGCCCGACACGTTGGAGCACGACACCATCAAACCGGTGGGCATCAGGCGCATGGACGAGCGACCCCTGCACCCGGAGCCCCAGTACCCCATGAGGTCCGCTGCCCCCCATCCCGGAGACATCGGAGACTTCATCAACGAGGTGAGCGAGAAATGAAAAGAAAAAAAAAAATCCAATGAAAGCTACTCGTTCTACTGCGAGACGATGCCAAATCCCAAGAAAACAGGGCAATATGAGCGGAGGGCTGCCGTCACAAGAGCTTGGATTTCATTTTCGAGTTGGATGGCTTTCTTATAACAAACCGAATAAACAATTTAGCTCGTATGACCGTGTGTGCGTGAGAGGAGTGGGGGAGAGATTGCAAATCGGATCAAATTAATTATTGGTAGAATGGTTTTCATCTTCCTCCAGGAAAAGTTTGCATATGTTTAAAGGGGGGAGAGGAATGATTGGAGATTTTCCAGTCGTTTTAGTTGCTAGAAGTTGGAGGTTTGCCAGTATGTTTAGGGAGAATAGGCCATTTATGTTGTCCATCTGTGTGCTATATAGTGCCGGGTTTATGGTTTTGTTTTCTTTCTTCCAAAGTATAAATCTCAAGTGATAAAAATAACGCTAATTTCTTGTTGCGAGACTTTTTACTCAGCACAAAAACCTCATGCCACCTCTAAACGCTGAGAAAAAGCATTAGGTACATTAAGGACATTAAAGGGGACGTGCCATGCTCAATCAACTCTTACACTACACACACTCACAAAGCTGTTTTATGAGTAACATAAAACATGCATGTAGTTATTTTTATCATAAGCACAAGAAGCCGTTGTGTGCCCCTCAGTCTTCTGGCCACCGATCCCCTACCACTGTATTCACTTCCACTTTGTTCTGTTCTGATTCCGTGATATGAGGAAAACTTTTGCTCCGCGGGAGAAAAAAATGTATATCTGCGTCCCAGTTCACCTGATTGGAAGGAAAAGGCAAGAAAGCCATTCACAGGAGTAAATAGGGAAGTTTGCAGACTTTTCTTTTTATAACATTGATTTAGCATTTACCATTGATTTAATTTCAAAGGCAGAAAGAAAACACTTATCTCCTAAAGGTTATTTCTAACCTTAATTATTACCTAATCTAATGGATGGATAGATGGATTTGTAAGTTTAAAATGTTATTTACTGGTTAATATTCTGCAGCAGTGCATGTGTACACAGACCAAAAGCTTGAACAATTTACATTTTTGTTATGGTTTGAGACATAGAAAACACTTGGCAACAATATGTTTTTTTGTTAAAGTGTTGCTTAAACTGGCCAAAAAAACGGCACAAGCATTTCAGCCGCCATTTGTTTGGATACGACCCATAAATGTGAAATGTTTTCGAACTCTCCACATGCACCAGTAGCAAGGGCTTTTATGACACTAACACAGCAGAGGAAAGATGGTCCAAGCAACTACAATCATTTCAGCTTTTTTTTAAATAACCAACATAACATTACCAATAATAAAATGATGATCCACTTCCTGTATTTGGCACAATGCACATAATGTTATCTTTAAACTACATTAGACTCAACGATAATTCCTGTCTTGGTTCGGATTTGTCGTCCAAATACAACCAAACTTCTTATCGTTCATATAGACAACTGTTTAAAGTATAATTGTTGTTATTTTCGGCATGTCCTCGCCTTCCAAAAACCTCAACTTCCCGCCGTGTCAGGACTGAAATTGGAGATGAGAGTGTTGTTGCATTGGCTTTCTATGGGAGCGCCCTGCTTTGCCTCGGGCCATCATTGACTCCAGCATGAAGGCAGAATGTAAAATGAAAAGAGCAGTCATGTATTTTTCACTAGCTCCAACAGACAAGAGTTTCAGCGGCATTACAAATGGACTTCTCTGCCCATTTTTTGTTGGCCGGCGCCCATGTTTTTAGATTAGAAACTTTTTTTTTTCATCCAATCTTTCTGTTAGAAGCCAATTCTGAGCTCTCCCGAGTCCAATACACATGTTTGAAGCAGAGAAATGTATTACTTTCGTACAAGAGCTTGGTCTTCCATTCGATATGCAATATGAATATTCGCAATGATTTCCTCGAATTGAGTGCTGTAAATTTGAGCTGCTCTGAAAGTATTTCAGGAGTCTTTGATAACATCTACAGGACTCAGGTTGCCTCATTTTGGAGAAAATTAATGATATTTACTAAAAAGTGCTATTAATGTATTAACCCTTCAGGCATGAGGGATTTTCATAAAGATTATGTATAGCAGATAAAGGTGAACACTGTATAAAGTATTGTCAACTACTAAAACCCAAATTAATTGTCTGAATAAAACCAACCAACATGAGTTAAGGATATTTTTTGTGAGGAGTCTGTTTAAAGAAGAAATATTATGCATTATGTTGGCCATTATGAAATGATAATGAGACTGTTATGTTTTAGAATGTGAGATACTATATTGAAAATATTTCTCCACTGTGAGACTAATAAAGGTTTATCTTATCTTAAAATGTGAAAGTGTGAAGGGTAAAATATGCCTATTCTGTAATGTCATGTCTGAGTGTGATGTCATAGTGCCATAATGGCTTTATACAATTACAGGACTGAGGCGGGAGCTTAGACCGAAGGGGCGGAGTTACATGTTTGTGCCATAGAGTTCCTGATTTTGGCGTGGAAGGATCTAAGCACATCTTTTTTGAAATGGATAAAACATGTCTCCTACAAGAAAATGCCTTTTGCCGAACCATTGCATCATTTTTTGCGATGTTTTGGAGCTTAAAATGACATACAAATCATTGCATTTAGTGAGCAGGATAATCTTATAAGCAGGTTGATAGTCTCTGTTAAAATATGTCGTCCTTCTCCCAGAGCATTAGGGACAATATAGACGCACAACTCCAGAAATATTCATAAAAATGGCCACTTTGCATGGAGGGCAGTGTGGATTCTTCAGTTTAGCTAAAGCGCAGTCACTTCTACGCTTCTCCCCTAGAATCTGACCTAAGTGATAAGGGCGAGCTGCCAGAGGAGAGATAGGCGACTCATTTCCATCCAAAAATGGTAGTGCAAAAAAAACCCTGGAGCTAGTGGCCGTTAATTAAATTACAGAAAGGCAAAAACGAGATTAGTTTAAAAAAAAAAAAGGACTTTTGCTTAGCATTCAGGCAAACAGGGCGGTGTGTGTTTGCCCCCGCAGAGGAAGGGTGAAGAGGCTTTGGCGTGACCCGGTGGCCTAGGAGCCCACGGAGGGACAGGGAAAGCGAACTGATCCGTCTTTAGTTTGACTCGGTTCATTCAAATGCAAACAGCGTCGCGCATGATTGGTAAACGGCAAAAGCCAGTGTCTTTGGAGGAAAAGACTTACTCCAAATGCTTTTCTCAAGTTTTATGTTTAAACAAATGTCTGAGAAACTTCAGTGTTCATCTCAATGTCGCGTTGACTGCTAAATATGGTCCAAACTCGTACTTTAAGCTGCTACTGAAGTTTTATTTTTTTATCTACATTTCACAAAAAGCTTCAGTAACCTTGGTAAACCTTTTAGAATTCCCAAGTGCACTTATTGAACTCCACCGTTGCGATATTTGCGAAAGCGCAGTGCAAAAATTGTTTAACTAAGACGTATTAATTTACCAGCGACAAAAATTTCAGGAATAATAAGTCTGTTTTTCTGCAGAGAGATGGTCCAAGGCAATGCTTTACAAATAAATGTCATTTTTTAAATACTGGGTTGAAATGGAATTGTGGTGTTAGTTTTGAAGTGCACACCAATTTTTTAGATAATTAAACATATTTCCGTGCCATGGATAGACCATTTCTCGTGGCTGACTCGTTGCGTAGTGATCAAATCTCAGCATCTGTAATTACCTTACCTTCTGAGAGCTTTGACTGTAAACCGGAGGGCCCGTAACCAACACTGGAGATTATTGCTTTAATTGTAATAAACAATCCATCTGTCATATTTCCAATGAAAGCAATCGGCCCAGAGCGAAGACTAAACGAAAGCTAACGAGTGGAAAATAATCGCTAAGTGCTGTGGCTTTTTTTCTTTTTATTTGAGAGGATTTCAGCATCGCACTGGAAACAATAGGTCTTTGACAAAGCTGTGCACAGGTCTGCTCGGGTTGAATAGTCTGTTACCGCATCTATTATTTGTGAGGTGTCCTCGGTTGTCGAAATAAGGAGGTGCAGACAACCCAGGGCCGGCTTCCAAAGTGGTTCCTTGGCCAAAACACATCTCAACTTGGAGATTAGCAATCCATCATTTCTCAGAGGTCTAGTTATGGGATGAGGCTTGGAATCGATTGCAATCCGTAAGGAGCCGCTAGCGACGCGTGTAGGATTTCTGGGAATGTTGAGGCGGGGCGTGAACATGTGTGTTCTCAGGCTTGATGGTTGACCTAAGTGTTACATACAGGCAATGAGGTCAAACACTTAAGATTGTCCATCAAAATAATTCATGCCATTTTCACCTGTTTTGTGTATGTGTAGGCTATACAGGCAGAAAAGAAAAAAAAACATTGAATACTGTTTAAGTCCATTAATTCAATGTGTAGTGATCCCTGTTCATTAAAGGGTTTTTACTTTATTGTCAAAAGTGCCTCGCATTTTTCTCCTTTCTCCAATTTTTTCGGTGTTTTGGTCACTGCTGATCTATTCATAGTTTCACCTGTATTTCTCACCCACATTGTAGTGTTTTATTCTGATAGTAGCATTTTTCTTATAACTTAGCAACTCCTCCAAAAACTGTCATGCTGAACATCAAAAGCGTACCTGCCACTTTCTGTGCTCTATACAGAAACTTTTTAAATTGCATATTTGTGTTTATTGGCCAGTTGAAGTGTTCTCAAATAAATCAATGTGCTTATTATTTTTTCAAGAAGGTCTCAGGAAGTATTCGGAGAATCTGTAATCTTTCCCAATCGGCTTTCACAAGGCTTGTAGTCTGCATTCCATTTCATGCATTTGAATCATTCGTTCTAAGTACTAGATAATGGTGCATTTACTTGTCAAAAGGCTTATGATTCATTCCCAAATATTTCGCTACTCTCTAAATACTTTCTCAATTTCTACCATTGTCTCTCTTTTAAATCCTTAAACTGCTCCACTAACACTCCATGGACCAATTATTCAATGAAACAACGGAAGAACCCACTGTTAGATTAGTTTATTCCAGTCTCTTTTAAGAAGTCCTGGGCAATCCAAGGGTCAGCGGGGAGGACATTCATATTCCACAATTTCGCTTCTGACCAATTCCTAATCTCAGATTTGAATAATCATACAAGCGGATTATCCCTCAAGCAAGACGTATCACGAGAAATCTCAGGACAAATTTACTGAACGCTCAATCCATCTTAATCCGGTGGTGAAGGATGCAGAGATTAGCCTTGTGTTTTATAGTCTTTCATTACAGGACATCCGTAATCCCATGTGTGTAACCGATTTCTTCTTCTTTGTCGTGTTTAGGGTCTTAAAGCTGCGGACAACGACCCAACGGCGCCCCCTTATGACTCACTGCTGGTCTTCGACTACGAGGGCAGCGGATCGACGGCCGGATCTCTCAGCTCTCTCAACTCTTCGAGCAGCGGCGGCGATCAAGACTACGATTACCTCAACGACTGGGGCCCGCGGTTCCGGAAACTGGCGGACATGTACGGAGGCAGCGACGAATAGAACTCTCAACAAAAACAAAAAAAAAGACGGAAGATTTTTTCAAATAAACGGTGGATTGATTTGTTTTATTTTTTTTTTCTCTTGAACGGACAGCTTCTGACGAATCCCACGAGAACAAGACGGGAACTGTGAAGAATAAAAAAAAAAAAAAAACACAGAAAATTCTGAACTTTTCAAAAACTAGGCTTATTGTTGTAGTCTTTGCATACATAGCTTGTCGGAGAAGCTTATAGGCAAATAGTCCGCCTCCTTTCTTGCTCCAAGTCGTTGGGGTTTTTTCGGGGAGACACGGAGAACGATGGTGGACTGTCGCCGCAAGGATTGACGAATGAATGGTACTGAACGCGCTCAGTTACACTTGAATTTCACAGTACAGAAGCACTGGGATATAATGTGCCTTTTTGTACATTTTTTTGGAGCTAAAATTGTTAGTTTTATGTTCAAGGCTTTAACGGTACTGACTTTTGGAGTGATTTCAACTGTTTGTCACGCTTTTGCTTCAACCTGTTTTCGTTACCGTTTTTCTTTTTTCTTTCTTTTTTATGACCCAATGCTCCGGTTTGTTGAGAATTATTTAAACCACATGAAGGAAAGGACAGCACTGTACAATATGCTAGACGTGTAGAAGTTTTTCACTAAAGTACCGTTTATGCAGCTGGTTGCAAATAAAGGGAGTTTTGATTACTTTCTTAGTTTTTTTTCTTTTCTTTTTGAAGTGAAAGTGGTATTTTACAAAATCTACAAAAAAAAAGTTTTGGTCGACTCTGCGTACACTTCATTTGCCTTAGTCATCCTCTGATACTTTTAACTCACTGTAAAAAAAGATGTGTAAATAATGTTTTTCTTCTATTTCTTTTTGATGTAGTATATGAACAAGTGCAAAAAGTTCCAAATCCTGTAAATGTATAATTTGGACTGAAAATTTCAAATGTTTTTTGCATGTTTTTATCTTTTCATGACAACGAGTAAGAACTGTTGTTTCCCAAATTTTATTTACTGAGTGAAAAAATAAAATTCTGGATGACATTCATGTGTAGAAGTTAAGGAGTTTTTTTGTATAAAAGAACAAAAAGTATGCCAATAAAAAGTGAAAATATTGTCAGCACAACTGTTGAATTTGTACCAAAAAGGTGAAAGACGTCAGCTTTAAGACTGGATTCAAGCCTTGTGGATGTGTACTGGAAAACTAATGCTACATCTCTGACCCAACCACCCCAATAAAAGCTAATTTTGGAGCTAAAACTCCTCGACTCTTCGTTGGTTTATTTTCATTTTGGCTACAAAGTGGCGCTTCCGTGGCTTGATTTAATTACTTGGTCCAACATCTGTCTCGAAGAACAATAGTTTTAACAAAAGGCCACATAACCGCAGGGGGAGAATAAATCATCGGCGGCCATGTTTGTTTATTGTTAGAGATGCAGAAGTATGTTGCTAATCGGTGGTGTGGATAAGGGGTCATTTACAGTACGAACAATGAGAGAATTTCTGTCTTACCAAAATCAGAGAATGTGTCATACCAAATGAACTAATGTGCATGGTCTATTTTGGCTCAAACGGGAAACTACATTGTGAAACTGCCAGTAATGAGAACAAGGGGGACTTGCTCAATAACCTTGCATAAGAGGCTTCCAAAAAAAACAATATATCAGGACTAGTATAAACCATTTTCTTCATGGACGTTGTATATGTTTGTGATTAATGGCTGGTTTCATGTGGACTGAAACGAGCACACTGTGTGACTGCATATCATTGGCTTTGAGTTTGCTTCTGATTACTTTGTATTGAGAAAACTTGATCATATGAATTAGATTAACCCGGGTGATTATCCTCAGCTTGACTGCACAAATAAGTAGAATTTGAATCACATACATTTTGTCTTGAAGCTGAGAACCTAACTTATTTTGTTTCATAAATACGTATTATTCTCAACAGAAAATCTTGTGTAAGTAACATTTTTAATTGTGTTTTTCTTCATTAATAGAGCTGGTCTAAAGATGTGACAGAGGCCAACTATACATGCATGTGCAAACACTTCCAGAGCTGGGAACCAAATTACAATTCATAGACTGTCATACGGTTTGAAGGTTAGGTACCTCAGCTTTGAAACAGAATTTGCCAGTGGGAAAATCACTTAAGTTTTATTTTGAGTGAAATGTCTCCACTGTGGGATGAATAAAGAATTATCTTATTTTACAAAACAAAAACATCTATTTCAATCGCTTTTCCTCTTATTTTGAGTCACTTTTTACAGTGTAGAAATCTAAATTACCGCCCCCTGACTATTCATTGTATTTATATCATCTGCCTAATGTATAAATACACGTGATTATTTGCAGCTGGAACCCAGGACGGCCTTCTCCTGGAGTGGACCACTGCACTGTATAATGAGACTGGTTTCACATGGAAGTCATTTAGTGCCAGTCATTTAGGCCTCACCTGCTAACCTTTATTACTGTGAGACTTGTAATTCACAGAGCCACTGCATGTAGCTCATTCAAACAGTTATGGACATGCTTTGTTAATTCAAGCAAATTAGACAAGAGCGACGGAGCTTTTCCCAAGTCTTTGCACGCAACGAATGAAGGCCTATTAGAGAGTGGCCAGTGGAGCGTACACCTGGCTTTTGTTTTGGCCGTGCAGGGATTGTGAGCAGTGTTGTCTCATCAGTTCCACATGCCTGTACTACTTACCCCTCATGTAGATAAAGGCCATCTTCAGATTCAGATGCAGTATCGTTTGATTTGCCATTTGCAGTAAAACCCCATTGGAATACTTGTGCAAAAGTCCACAGTATGCACCAGACAAGTACAGAAAATAAGAGATTGAGATCCTTTATTCGTCTCGCAGAGGGGAAATGTCAGCGTTGCGTCACACAACAGTAGGAATGAAGAGCACACAACACAATTTAAATGAACAACTATAGGTTCTCAGCATAAACAATCTTGGTTCCGTCCCTCCCCTATGGTCATGAGCTTTGGGTAATGACCGAAAGAACGAGATCGCGGATACAGGCGGTCGAAATGAGCTTCCTCCGCAGAGTGGCTGGGCGCTCCCTTAGAGATAGGGTGAGGAGCTCAGTCACACGGGAGGAGCTCGGAGTAGAGCCGCTGCTTCTCCACGTCGAGAGGAACCAGTTGAGGTGGCTCGGGCATCTGTTCCGGATGCCTCCTGGACGCCTCCCTGGGGAGGTGTTCCGGGCACGTCCCACCGGGAGGAGACCCCGGGGAAGACCTAGGACACGCTGGAGGGACTATGTCTCTCAGTTGGCCTTGGAACGCCTTGGGGTCCCCCCGGACGAGCTGGAGGAAGTGTGTGTGAATAGGGAAGTCTGGACGTCTCTGCTTAGACTGCTGCCCCCGCGACCCGGCAACGGATAAAGCGGAAGAAGATGGAATGGAATTGAACTAAATTTTAAAAAATAAAAGTGCAATAGTATTGTTGAAAAATACTTGCTGTACATAATAATAAATCTTGATTTCGATACAAGGAAAACTCATAATTCTGTGGAACATAATTCTATGGAACAAAACACTAAATGGAGGGAGATAAGAAATGTCTTTCTCTCATTGAGCTCCTCTGATTCACGTGTGACACTGAAAAAAACAGACCTATAACATTCTTCAGTGATGCAGAGTCGGTTGAATTATTGGACGCTCAACCCAGGCCAATAATTCCTTAGTTATTTTGGTAAACTTTTCTACACATTTCAAGTTTGCAATATACTTTATTGAATGAAAATAAGTTTGAGAACCATTATTACAACTCCCACCACCAAAACCATATATGAGAAAAAATACTGAAAATAGAAAGAGCAGAGCAAATAAACAATAAACTTAAACTAGCAAACATTTTCAGACCTTATGAATAGTCTGTATCAGTATTTCCCAACCGAGGGTATATTTGGGCAGGTAGGGGTAGGCAAGGGTATAAATAATAATAATAATCTTTATTTGTATAGCACTTTTAAAAACAGTGTTTACAAAGCGCTGCACAGTCAGCATGATAAACAATAATGTCATAATGCAAGGTCAAAATAATTAGATACAGAAACACAAATCAAACAGAGCAAAACACAAAAGAGACTCAACAAAGACAAAGCACACAGTAAAATACAGCATCGGAAGTTTAAAACTAACAGTTAAAAGCTGTTTGATAAAAGTGGGTTTTAAGAAGAGATTTAAAAGAGGATACTGATGGTGCTAGCCTTATCTCCTCGGGCAGGTCGTTCCAAAGCCGAGGAGCCCGGACAGAGAAGGCTCGGTCACCTTTCGTCCGGAGCCTCGACCTTGGAACAGTCAACAGGGACCTGCCCGAGGATCTAAGCCTGCGGGGAAGGGCTCGTAGGGGGTTAAAAGTTTAGAAATATAGCTTGGTGCCAGACCTAAACGAGCTTTAAAAGTAATCAGTAAAATCTTAAAATCAATTCTAAAACGCACAGGGAGCCAGTGGAGGGACGCTAAAACAGGGGTGATGTGCTCCCTTCTGTTAAAACCAGTGAGAAGTCTGGCTGCTGCGTTCTGGACCAGTTGGAGGCGGGAGAGGGATTCAGCGTCGAGACCGGAGAGGAGGTAGTTGCGGTAGTCGAGGCGGGAGAAGATGAGGGCGTTGACAACTTTATGGAGATCGGAAGGAGTGAGGATGTTTTTAATCTTTGAGATTGTGCGGAGGTGATAGAACAGGTTTGGGTGGTTTTATTGATGTGGGAGCGAAAAGTGAGGTGAGAATCAAAAATGACACCAAGGTTACGGGCGGAGGGAGTGATGTTTGAGGAAAGGGGGCCGAGGTGGGTTTGGATGTGGGATATAGATGGAGGCGGGTTGATGAGGAGGACTTCAGATTTGGAGGTGTTGAGCTGTAGAAAGTTATGGGCCATCCAACGGTTCACCTCATTAAAACAGTCGACCACAGCAGCCAGACTTCCAGGGTCGTTTGGTCTCAACGGGAGGTAGATCTGTGTGTCGTCCGCATAGCAGTGGAAGGACACGTTATGACGGCCATAA